TCGAAAGCGAAAAACGTGAAGACGGTGATCTATAGATCAGTCAATAACGAACAACAGGTGATAGCGAAAGCGAAAAATGGATGAAAAAGATAAAACGAGTAATGAAAAGTGAGCTGACAATCAAATGTGAAAGCGAAAAACATGTAGGTGAAAAGCGAATTTCGTAAACGAATTACCTTTTTTAGAAAGAGGAAAACAGGAGTCAATTTAAAATAGAAAAGGATGGGACATTACACTAAGGAGCTCGGATAATTGAAATAATTTATTGAGATCGGGACGAACGGGCTCCTTCGGAAATTACAAGATCAATGAATTTTGTTATACTTCGGTAACACTATGTTAAGAATTATCGCTAGTTCAATATACTTATTTGTATTCTCATTTCTGATTTTTTGTTTCTTTAAAATCAAGTTACCGCCGGTGTCTTTCGATAATTGAACATGAAATAATGAAAAGGAACTAAATTGTTCCATACACGCACACAAAAAATCTACGCAAAAGAAAATATTTTATTAAGCAGCAGAAAATAAAATTATATTAAAAAGTTTCTGGTGCAGAACATCCAACTTCATCAAACGTTTATACTTTATAAAATGTATAAACTTCTCAACTAAGAAATAATTTCCAAATGTAATCCGTAAATATGGTAGAATAAGCCTTTCTCTACCATATTTACGAATTACATTTGGAAATTATTTCTTAGTTGAGAAGTTTATACATTTTATAAAGTATAAACGTTTGATGAAGTTGGATGTTCTGCACCAGAATAGAATTGACGTAATAAAAAATTCTTTCATAATTTTATCTGTTTAGCAACTATTTGTCCAATAATGTACTTAAAACCCTTAACAAAATATATGCATAAAGTTTCGAGGCGCAAGACATAATAAAAGAGACATTTTTGTAGCTGTTTTATTTAGGATTGTTTGGCTATTTTGTTTCGTTGATTTATAAATTAGTAGACAATAAACCATCTCTACCAGAAATTAATTTTACTCTTAATACACGTGTATCTACGTGTTTTTGATTTCGAGAAAGGAATTATAACGAATTTTTTGTATAATCGTTATATTTATTTCTTACCCCGTTTTGAATGGTACTTTCTCATATGGTGAGTAATATATTCTGTATTATTGTGTCTAAAGATTATTAGATATCCATGTTACCATAATTGTATAATTACTTCTTTCTAATAGTTCTAGAAACTGGATTGTATTTTGCGATTCAATCTATCAGATTTCTAGTCATACTTCGACAAAATTTTTTGACCTTGATTCAATTTAAGTGTTAACCATTACGAAAACACTGCATCTTCTATTGGTGCCTGTCGTAGTTGAGGGAAAAAGTCTATCAATGCTAATGCAAATTCAGATGCATCATTTTTGAATAGAGAACGTGCTTCATCGAACACGAACAAAAAATTCAAATGTGAATATTTTGTATCTCGCAAGTACCGATGAATAAGGATCAAAGTTTTCAATCTACCACTTGCTCCTTTTTATCAATATATTTTCAAAGTTATCTATCATAGGTAGTAATTTTTCTGTGGTTACAACCTTAAATCTATTACATACCTCTACTGCGCTTCAAATTTGCCATAAATTTGTGATACTCGTAAATCTGCAGAAAGCTTACCAAAAACCCGCTTGAAGCGCTGATTAAATGTTGGGGGGGGGGGGCAGTTTTACATATAATCTTAGCTCTAACCCTAACTCTAATCCGTCCAAATTTTCCCGGCAAATATATCTGGGTATCTTTTTTTTAGGGTGACGCTAAGTTTAAATCATCCAAGCCAAAGAAAGTAACAAAATGAAATTTTATTCATACGAGAAGGGATTTTACTTAAGTTAATTATGTATACTCTAAAGTAGAAAGAATATGATACATTTTGAGTTAAACTAACTAACCATAGAACCACTTTGAGTTGTTGACAGTGTATTAAGAATTCAAATCAAAATCTGCGTCTGATTTTTCACAATCCATTCCTTGGTGATTATTTTTATTTTTTGCTTTGACCAATCGTTTCTTTTAGTATATCCCATAATTTGATAAATAAAAATCATACATTAATAATTATATATTGTTGTTTGGTTTGCATAGCTCTGCCCTTCTGTTTTATTTATTAAGATAACCTGACCTGCGATGATGAAAATTTTTCTAACAAAGAACAGCATTCTTCTTTATCTTATTGGAAGTGTACGGTACTCGATGTAATGGTATAGTAAATCGAAATCTGTCTTACACCACCAAGAAAAGATAGCAAACAACTGATTTTTACCTTTGCTTGAAACATACAACGGACACTTATAAAGTTCATCCATTCATAAATATGAAATGTCAATATGATTTGAATTCAAACAGCATTTGGATGGGTATGTTGCTTTTTGTTTACACTTGTAGGAATACTTTTTTGCAATTGTCCATCATCAAGTTGTTTTTCCTAAAGATCTGTAGTAGTGAAAATAATGCAAATTATTCAGTTTATTGTTTGGTTCTTAGCTAAATAGCGCTGATAGAAAGGATAAAGACTTTAAGTTTGCTATTCAGGCCAAGAAGTACACATACAGTAAACCCTGTCTAAAGTCACACTGTATTGTCTAAAACCAGTTTATTATTGAGAGTATAAAAAAAGTCTCTGTTTAAAGTCTCGCTTTTTTAAAAAAAGTTACTATTGTCCAAACGGGTGACTTTAGACAGAGTTGACTGTATCACATGTATGCAAATTGGATAGCATTTGATGTTAACGCTCAGTTGCACTATATCTTCGTAGCGATTTGGTGCATAATATCTAAACTCATCAATAGATTGTATAGAATAGGCCTTTTTTGATCATATTTACTGATTATTTAATTAATAAAATATAATCTATTTATGAGCTTAGATGTTATACACCATAGAACTTCCATTTATGTTAATGTGAGCATAGTGTTGCGGGCGAAACCTGATTCTGTTGCATTTATTTCTGATATGTCGAAATGTCGAAATGTCGAAATAGTCCGAATGCTCAAAACAAAACAAATCCGACTATCTAATTGGTTATTGAATACGTCCTGTACTCTTTTACAGTCACTTCTTCATATTTTGAAAGGCAGAACATTTAGTGAGTGACAGATTTCTTAATTCAGTTCGGAATTCATCGGAGGGCTCGGATTTCTTACCATAATTTGTCCAGTGCCGGACTAAACAATGGGTGATAGGTAATAATTTCGCCCGCAACATTAATTGCGCACAAATCATAAAAAGCGTTCTGTCTCATTTTTCATACATAAACACAAATAGAAGATATGGCTCTTTTAACATAATAATCTTGATTTTACCCATAAATGAAAGTTCTATGACATGTCTCCTCTACAAATCCACAAATGGAAGTCAAAATAACAATGATAAATGGCGCCTCTTCTATAAAGATACGTGCATAGCGTTAACACAAAATCAATTTAAAACTGAGGTTATATGAAGGTGCGGCTCTTCTTTTAAGACATTTACACATATAAATCATTCTTTCAAAATTTCAAATAAATGTGACGATTTTCAAAAATGGAATTATTGCGGTGCTTAAATAATGATATCGACAATCTAATAGAAGAATGCATGAAAATTGAAACAGTTTTAATGGATCTCTTTTGAAAGATTCACTAATGCTGATTATCTTGCAAAAGGAGTTTTTGGGACAATTTATAAATCATCCTGGTTGGACAGACCGCGAATTAAGAAGTTATGACGTTGAAATTATTACATGATTCAAATCAAATTACCTTGGAGTTTATAAACGAGGTAAAAGTGAACATTTCCTAAAGTGCAAGTAATGCTTTTTTGCTTTTAATGCGATTTAGTTTTTACTAATTATCAATCTCTCTGTTTCTCTTAGACGGGTATAATAAGCCGAGTTTATTTCTATAAATGTACATGTATCGATTTTGCATACCGATACCATTTTTTAGATTCATATCGATATCGATATTCTAAAATATTGATAATTTACTTGTTTACTCGCTAGCAATAGTACAAGAGGCTAAATAGCTATTTTCAAAATTAATACATATATTCATTTATGCTAAATTCAAATCATATATTCTAAAATGTTCATTTTATGCTGAAATTCAAATAAATGCAAGTACACATCGTTATACTAAAAATAAAATAGCTTTATAATTAAACCAAACGTCATTCTTCAGAACATTTCGTGACCACGTCTTCTCTCCAATTCAAAATATCCGAAATTTTCTCTTTTGAGAGAAATCCCTTATTTCTATACAAGAAAAATATTATTTTTTAGCTACTGTATATCGCTATCCTAAAATATTCGAAATACACTTACCTTTTACTTCCACAACCCAATTGCCTAATGTTACAACAACACTCATTATTATGCAAGGAGAAATAAGGAGTGGCTTGATATCTTACAGGCATCCAATAAGTAACAGGCAATGATACTAAGTAATGATAGAGATAGTGTTTCTCGTACAGAAGGTATGTAGAATTTTTCTTTTGCACGAAGTATGTAGATGATGTAAATGAGATTATTGGCGTTGTTACATAGTAAACTTGATTGTCGAATTCTCTGATGGTTGCCATATTCGATGTTTGCATATTAAGTTTTGTTGGAAAGAAAACAAATGACATGTATACTATGTAAACAGGCCGCTTTATTCTCTCTCGTTAATTGTAAAAATATGTTGTAACCATGCAGCTTTATTATTTATTTATTTAATTGTAAACATAATAAATTGAAACGCATAACATAGTGGTATAGTTTGTTATGTAGGTATCATCAGTCATCACGGCTATCGTCGTGGTGATTGATGATATCTACAGCATCTTGTGAAATAGCGTCACAAATTGCACTTGATACGCTATAACGATAAGTAATTTAAAAAAACCAAGTGTAAGAAGCTTTTATCTATTGACAAAGATCCTGTTACACCTATCGCTATCTTTTTTGATCTGACATTAAAGTTATACGAACTATTTTTGGCATCATTGGAATTGCGAAATAATAACCGGATCCGTTAGGCAACTTAGAACACAAAAGAGGCATCTTGTCACGTATTCATCGGAACCAGTGCTTTCGGAAGCCACACTTGAAGTGCTTTCTCTGAGAGAACTGGATGGAACCTTTCAATCTGGTGGTATTCTGGAGGCGGGATGATGCCAGGCGAGCTGATCCAAGATTGTTGTTAGATATAAAAACTTTAACTATATATCCTCAACAAACTATATTGGTTGATATAAAAATTGTCATAAAAATTCCAAATAGAACAGTTTATCAAATATTTTTATAATCTTTACTAGCAAAAATTAGAATTGCTGTTCAAGATAAAATTATAGATACTGGATATTGGAGTACTTCTTTATTATAATTTTATATTATTTGATTAAATGATAGAATTACCCCAGCAATTCTTTTATAACTAGCTCTTATTGAAGAATTAATTTTAGTACTAACTCAAAAAAAACTTGGTAAACTAAGAAAGAAATTAATAATTTTGGATCCATTAATTTAGTAAAGATAGCAAATTATTTCTTTGCACAAACATTTGAGAAACTAATTGCTGAACAAAAAGAATTAACTTTGATTTAACAACAATTATTAAAAAATCTATTGAAAGCTTATAAAGATATTTTTATAATTTTTATTTTTGAATTTATCTTCTTATTATTGGCAAATATCTATAAAAGAAATTAGCAAATCAAAAATAGCTTTTATTTTAATACAAGGTTTATATAAATTTAATTCTATATCTTTTAAAATATGTAATGATTCAGCAACTTTTCAATGAGTTATGAATATAATTCTAGCAGAACACTTGGAACATTTTTAAAAAGTTTTTAAAAAGCTTTATAAAGCTGAACTTAAACTTAATCCAGAAAAATATAGTTTTATTAAAAATAAATTATTATTACTTGAACATATTGTAACTGCTAAAGAAATTTACCAAATTTATCAAATCAAAAGTTTTTTTCAATCTCAAATTGTAAAATAATTAAGATTTTTTCTTGGACTAACTAAATATTATAAAAAATTTATCAAAAATTTCTCTCAGATTGCTATATCATTATTTAAATTACTTTGAAATAATATTACTTTTATTTAAACTCAAGCTCAAGAAAATATATTTCAAGAACATAAATACAAATTTATCTCAATATTTATTTTAATTTATTTTAACTTTATACAAAAATTCTACTTGTATACTAATATCTATTCTAACTTTATATAAAAATTCTACTTGTATACTAATATTTATCTTTAATAATATACTTGAAAATGTTCTAGTTCAAAAAAATACTAATAATAAAGAAATACTAATCACTTATGCAAATATTACTTTGAAATCCAATAAAAAATTATAGTATAATTATAAAAGAATTATTAGCTATATTAGATAGTATAGTTTTGATATTATTTTTTTTAAAATAATTACTAATCACAATATACTCAAATAATTATTTTAAAAATAATTAAATTTTGAATCTTGAATTACAAGATAAATAATGAAAATAATAAAATATAATTTTATAGTTATCTATTAATCTTAAAAAATTAATTAAATATAAATATACTCTTTTAACTCAATTAAAAATATTGAAAATAAAATTAGAACAATATTCAAAATTAATGAACTATTTAAAAATTCAATAATATTCTATTGAATATTCAAAAAAAAATAAATAATAATTTAAATTACTTCTTAATTATCAATAAATAATTATACAAAAAAATTGAAAGAAAGAGCCAGCAAATTCTTTAAAAGTCTTAAAAATAAATTAAATTAAAGTAATACTTAAATACATATATTAATTAGATATTTTAAATATAAAAAAACTTATTAATAAATTGCAATAAAATATTAATAAATAAAATGTAAACTACTATTAAAAACTTTATAAAATTTTGTTTTATTTATTAACTTATTGGAATTAAAATTATTATATCTTTTAAATAACTATTTGAAAAAATAATTATTAATTTAATTGGATTTTGTTCTATTATAATACAAGAAATTAATATATTATAACAGTAATTAATTATTTTTCTTAATAATTTAAAGCTAAAGCTATATCAAATAAATAAATAATTATTATTATTTTTGAAAAAATTATTTGTTAATATGAATATTTAAAAAAATTCAATTTAATAACAGAACTGAATTTATAAATGAAATTATTAAAGAATTAATAAACCAATTTTATATTAAATAGAAGTTTTTACTGTATTATTCACAAATAAATAAAATAATAAAATAATTTAATAGAACAATATGTTTAATACTTCAAAAATATTGTATAGTATATATTAGTAGTATTATTAGCTTATAAAATACTTCTTTTGATATATAGAAAAGATATTAGATTTTTTATTAATCAAATAATACCAGTTAAAATTTAATAGAAAATAAATTTTATATCAAATTTATAATATAATTAAATAATAAATAATAGTGCAAAACAAAACCAAAAAGAATATTATAAAAAAATAATAAAAGATATATAAAAACACAAAATTTAAAAGAATTTAATAAAGAAAATAAAGTTTTATTATATAATATGAAATAATATATAATATATATAATATATATAATAATCTTAAAAATAATTCATATTAAATTAAAATTAATTAATTAAATAATCTATAAATAAAAATAACTCAAATAATATTAGAATTATATAAGTTAATTTAGTAATCAAAAAAAAATTTTAGAAATAATTATCTAATATATAAAATCAACTTGATATTTATTTAATGTTCAACATTAAAAAGACACAAAATTTATACAGAAATTATTGGATAATACAAAATAAAATATTTCTCAAAAAGTTATATTGTTGTGATTAGATATTTTCGTAATCACAAACGATCATCTCACATGATCGCTTCACATGATCGCTTCACATGATCGCTTCATATGGTTACTCCGAATGATCATTCCAAATGATCATTCCAACCGATCATCTCAAGCGCTCCGAATGATCATTGCAAATGATCATT